CAGTCTTCAATATGGGGGTTAGTGTAGGGTTGAAATTCCTCTAATGGCTCCCAGGGCTTGAAAGTTGCTGTTGAGGCTATGGAGGAACAGGCTGCAAAGTCAGGAATGAAGTGTAGAATCAGTGTAGACCTCATTCAGAGAGCCAGAGAATGATCTGATACTCATTCACAATCGTATTAATACAATTGCCAAGACAGCAGAGAAATCTTGGAGCTCTAGATTGAGTTCGGTATGTGCCAAACTATGCTAATACCTATCAATTGTATTATCCCCTTTTATTTTTTTAATGTATGTTTTTGCTGTCATACAGCATGACTGCAACTCTTGCTTTTTTGGATTCACTTGATAAATAACACGTTCCTCCCCCCACATCCTTCAGTTTTATTTTGTGTGTGTCTTTGTTTTTTAAATGTATTTCCTGTAAGCAGCAATTTTTCTTATCTAACCTATCACTTTTTCACTTATTGGATTGTGTAATACATTCACATTTAAAATTATAAGATTTAGATTTCTATTTTCCTCCATTGTGTCTAATATTGTTTTCTTTCAAGTTATACTTTTCCCTCTTTTTTTTTTTGTAAATACACTATCATCTTCTTCCAATCACTTTAGTTCAATCTTTTCCCCCCATAGGCTGTATTGCTACAGTCTCTCTCTGTATTGCTACAGTCTCTCTCTCACTCCTAATCCCCTCCTCTATTTTGTTACCTTTATCCCTTTGGGGTTTTAGGCATTAATTCTTTTTTTCTTCTGCTTTTATCTACTTATATAATTCTTCCCCCCCCCAGTTTTCCCCTCTCAGTCAAGTAGATTCTCCCTTTCTCTCCTCTCCTTCAACTAGTCCTATTCATTAGCTTTTAAAATTTTGTGCCTCTTTCCAAAATGTATTTCTCTCTGTTATTCATCCTCTCTTTCTCTCTAATCTGGACTCCTATTCTCTGATTCATGATACCTATAATTATCTGCTCTCTCTCTTCCGATTAAAGCTTCCAAATTTCCAAGGTATCCATTCTAGGCTCTCCCCTCTAGATGCTTTCTAGGGCTTGCCCCATGGATTCTCATTTTCCATTGTGTTTCACTTCCAGAACAATGTTAATTATTTCAGGTGTCAAAGAGAACCCTGCTTTATGGGAGGTCCCCTCTTCAACCATATTTGTGATAATGCATCTTACCACTGTTCTATAGATATCCTTCCCTGGTAACCTTCTTTCCTCCTCCCCCCCGCCCCAACACATTTGCCTCAAAATCTCCTTTCAGGATCTATCCTCTCCCACACCTTCAGGTGCCAAACATGGCTAAGGTTTCCAACTACCTCTCTTCTAATGTAGGACAAGTAGACTTTTCAAGCACCAAATCTCCTAGGTTACACCCCACTCAGGCCTCATCTCCTTTCACAAATCATCTCTCTTGACCCATAAGAGCATTCATCAGTAGAACCCCATCTCACCACCAAAATAAGGCCTCCTTCCTTGCCTCCTCTTTTTAAATCTTTACCCTTCTTCTTCACTCATTCTCCTGTAGGCTCTTTTTTTTGAAATCACCTGACAGGTAACCTTTTTTCATTACTAGCCCTCGATTTGATCCCAGCACACCACAAACTTTTCTCTATGCCTCTGCTCCCCTCCAGTCCCATTTGTAATGTGGACCCACAAAACAAAACAAAACATTGATTTACCTCTAAGCATGATGTCATCATGTTCTGTCCATGATGCCTTCTGTTTGCCTCTTCAGTGTTATCTCAGATTTCTGTCTTCATTCCTCTCTTTTTGAGTACATTTAAGAAGCCTTTTACTGGTCTTACTCTTGTTATTCTGTTGCTATTGCTGTCCTTGGCTGCTACATTTATTCACTTCTTCTGCATTTCTATTGTTGGGGTATTTGAGAAGCAAACGATCTTTTCAGTTCTGTTTTTACTTCTAAAAATATTTCAAACTCTTCTTTATTATTTAATGCCAATCTTTCTCATCTGTGGTTAAACTTAGATTTGCAGAGTAGGTCACCCTGGGCTATTTCCTGAGCTCCTTTGCTTTTTAGAACACATTATGCCATTCCCTCCTATGTTTTCTCATAGCTACAGAATAGTCTTGCATTTTTTCATTTTTGTCCTTTCCTTTGTATTTGAAAGACTTTCTCCTGATTGATTTTAGAATTTGTTGTTTCTGAACTGAATTATTAAATTTAATCATTATGTGTCTTGGAGCTTGTAGCCTTGATTTTTTTTTCTGGAGGCATTCTGTGAATTCTTTCAATTGGAATTTCATTTTCTATGTTCAGGAGGTCTGGGCCGTTCTATTATGGTGTTAAGTTTTTTTTTTTTCCTGTCATGTTCTTCTAGGACATCTTTAATCCTTAGGTTGTCCTTTCTTTGAGATCAGTATTCTCTACTTTCATAGCAAGCATATTTTTTTAATGTTGTTTTTTGCTTCCTTCTTCTGAATTGTCCTTTACTTCTGTGTATTTGCATTTTAATCTATTGTATCTATTTTGTTTCTTTGGTGAGGTTTGCCATTGCAGACTCTGGTTTTTCTATTCTGTTCTTTATTTTTGCTGGACAGACCATAATTTCTGCTTTCATAATTCTCATTTCTCTTTTGAAACACTCAAGAGCAGCACGCTGTGGCTCCATGTTCTCCTCAAATTCTCTAGGGACCTCTATCTCATCAAACATTGAATCTTTTTATTTTGTTTTGCTGTATTTAATCATAGGTGCCTGAATTTGTTCTTTAGATCTAGATAGATTTGCCTGTATTGATTTATCTGCTTATGTGTAAGATTTTTGAGTTTTACTTTTCTTGAAATTTTGGTCATTTCAGTCCCCCACCCCTCATTTTCTCTATTGCTCACTTTCTGACTCCCTCTCTTCTGATTACAGTTTCTTTGGGGGCTGGATCTCAAAGCATCTCAGCCTCCTCTTACTCTAGGTAATTCATAGTTCACTAGCTTAGGTCTCTCCTCCAATTAACTTTTGGGTGGTCAGAACTAGTTCCAGCTAGATGCTGTGCTCTTTCTCTTAGGCTTAATGAAGTGCTGCACAGCACCCCCACCCCTGTCCTGTTCTGTTCCCTTTGTTCTTTAGTTCTGTAGCCCAGCATAGATAGTGCATGCATTTGCAGTCCTGGTACTAACGGGTTGTCTGCCATGGCACCATTTCTGTTGGTGCCACAGAGTTGTCAATCTTAACACTGGTATTCAAAGCTTTTTAGCTTCAGTGATATGAAGTTGTGGCCCTCAGCAGATTTTTGCTCCCAAGGGGCTATGGCTGCCTGACTGTTTGTTGCAGCCAGGGACAATTTCTGTAGCCTGACACCAGGATCTCCATAGCACTGGAAAGTGGGAGTGGGGACAGGAAAGGGGGTGGATTTTTGTAGTAAACCTTTTATCCTTAGGTCTGCTAGTGCAGCCACTGCTGGTAGGTTGGGAAGTGGTAGAAGGGTTTTGAATTAGGGTCAGCAGGCATTAATTCATGGGTTTGGGGATTTTTAAAAGAAACTTCTTTTGGATTCTGGTTGTCCTAGACCATGGAGATAGTTTCTTTTTCTTTGGAACATAATTTCTCCTTTGGAGAGGTTTAAGAGGTCATGGGGATCCAAAAACAATATCTCATAGTCTATGTTGTTGCTTGCTTACCTGACCCAGATATCCCTCAATTGTATTATAATAAGGCTGAGAAACAATAGAGGTGGGATGTCTAAGGCATATTTTAGTGAAATTTGGAAGGAGTAAGGAAGGACAAAGACTTGTGAACATTCTAGTGTTGAAGAAAGAGTGTGATATAGCTTATTAAACATTTTTAGGGGAGGAAGTAGGACTAGCTATGCTACACAACAATCATATTTACCATAGCCTTAAATTAGTTATGCAGGCTCAATACAATAGTTAAAGTTCAGAAATATTTGTTACTAAGAAGTTGTGGAAGGCCCTGAAGAAAGGAAAAGTCCAGGAATAATAGAAATAAAGTTTAGAACTTTATTAAGATTTTGATATTTCTCTCTTACATATGATTGGGGGATGAATTGGAGTGGGGAGAAACTTGGATCAAGGAGATGAGTTAGAAGGCTATTGCAATAGTCTAGGTGACAGATAATGAGGACCTGAACTAGAGCTGCAGTTGTGTGTGGAGAGAAGGATATGTATAAAAGATATATTATGAAGGTAGAAATGACAAGATCTGATAATGGATTGGTTATATGGAATGGAATGAGTGAGAGTAAGGAGTCAAGGATGATCCCGAGACTGTAAGCCTGGGTAATCGGCAGGAGGGTGGTACACTTGACAGTAGTAATTTAGTCAGTGATTTCATAATAAGTATTTATGAAACTCCCAAGAAGTGCCAGGTAGTGTGCAACAACAAAAGATTCTCCTCAAAAAATATAAAAACAAAATGGAAATTAGGAAGAGTGGAGGGTGTGTGTAGGGCAATGGAGATAATGAGCTCTGTTTTGGACATGTTGAATTTGAAATGCCTGTGGTACATATAGTTTGAGCAGACAGGTCAAGAAGGATCCGGATTGAGAAAATACCATTAGACTTAGCAATACAAATATTATTGGTAACTTTGTAAAGGTACAATTTATATTGAATGAGAGTCAGAAACCAGACTGGAAAGGATTTAGAGGGTAATCAGAAGAGAGGAAAAGGAGATACCTGGTTTAAATGGCTTTTTCAAAGAGTTTACCTGTGATGGGGAAGAGAAATATAATAGTGGTGATATGATTATGTGAGGGTTTTTTGTTTTTTGCCTTTTGGATTTATAAGGATGGGGGATATATGAGCAGTTTGCAGTCAGGCAGGAAGGAGTTAGTATATAGAGAGATATTGAAGATGATAGTGTGGGAAAGTTAGTAAGGATAATTATCTAGAGAAGTGAAGCTTAAAATGGGATTAAGGATACTAGTAGAGGAATTGGCTTTGTTAAAGATATGGCTCACCTCCTCATTTGAGACCAGAGTGAAGGAAGAGATATGTGTGTATAAGGAAACTGGGGTCATCTCCATACCAACATGAGCCAGGTAGGTGGTATAGCAGATAAAATACTGCATATAGAATTAAGAAGACCTGAGTTTGAATCCTTTCTCAGATGGTCACTGGCAATGTGGCTCTCAGCAAGTCATGTAATCTCAGCATTTTGTTTGTAAAATGGGAACAATAATAGTACCTACTTCACAGTGTTGTTGTCAAAATAACACGTTAAAAGTGCTTTACAAACCTTAAAACATTATACAAATATTCATTAACATTATTTTTATTTAATAGGGGAAAGACTGTACTAAAGGTTTACTAGTGCATAATATGTAGCAAAGGTTTTGCCACCAAACATGCTAATATTTCTTTCCATTTCAGTTTACTGGAGTTTGTATGTTTGTTTTCATCAAAAGGTATTCTCTGCTATAGGCAGTAATAGTCTGAGAAGAACATAACCTTTTTGTAGACTAAACTGAAAATTTAAAAAAATTGAGCACTGAGCATTTTGCCCCCAGTCACAGAGTTGTTCCTGTTTTAACATAAAAGCCAGTGTGTGTGTGTGTGTGTGTGTGTGTGTGTGTGTGTGTGTATGCATGCACATACATGCATGTGTGTGAATGTGTAGCAGAACTCTGAGACAGTAATATATTCAGAGAATTTTTATAATTGACTTTCTGAGAAGGAATTTTCTTTATTAGTGAAACCATGGCATTTTTTCCTAGTCATGGAGAGAAATGACCTATGATATTTGGAACTGATCATCAAGATGCAACAGTAAATCTACAATAAACCCAGAGTTTCATGCCTAGAAGTAATTCTGGCTGTTTACTATTGCCTTTGTCAATGAAAGTTAAGGATTCCACTTTCAGGCATCAAACCAAAGATAACTCAAAACAAGTATAGATAAGTCGATCACTTCCAAATGATTATTTTCTATATGTTTCTAGTCACCGATAATAGGGAATGTTGTCAAATATTTCTCAAAAAGCTCACACTGTCATCTGATAAGATGAGCTTTCGTACATCAGAAACCTGACTACTTTCCAACAACTTGATTTCACAAATGGAAAAACAGCATCTGTTTTCCTGCAGCTTCCCATATGGCTAGCATTGTTGCTAAGACAAGCTGAAGCAGGTAGCCCATGTGAGAGTGGCCCTCTGGAGCGCTGCAGCCTTCTGGGATCAGATAACACTGGTCTGCTGTGAGGGACACTGGCTCCCCAGGCAGCTGAAACTGCATATTTAATCAACATATGCAAAGCATCCGTCTGAACAGCAAATTACAGAAGAAAAAAAAAGATCAAATGCAACATTTAGTACTTCTCAGTTTGCATTTGCAGTGGGCTTATTTTGACAGGGGTATTTCATGCTTCATTCTTTTAAGAACTCAAGAAAAATATCCATTAGTCATGACTATTGGTGAAGATGGAGTTGAAATGTGTCCATAAATAAGAAAAGGAAGATGGCGCCCTTAGTCTATGAGTAGTTAATAGAAAGATAAGAATTTGAGAAATGACATATTTAATTGGCTTGTGATGGAGGAAGTATAGGTCTCCACATGATACTACTCTAATGCTTCACCATGGTATGGAGGTAATGAACTTGGGTGCCTAAAGGCTACCCAATCAGAGTATAAGCTTAGGCAGATGTGACAATGCTGAAAGGGATGTGAGGAATATGGTCTAGGTAACAGACTAAATCTAGCATCTGAAGACAAAGAACAGAGGCACATCATCAATAACTTGGCCTTGAGGTGATGCCTTTTTTGACCATGAAAATCCATGAAACCAAGAACTCAAAAATATATCCTTCGATCCTTTATGGTTCCCTTCTACTTTTGAGGGACCTGGAATGTTTAAAATAATGCAGTTTCTATACATCAGAAGTTATTCTAAATATAAGATCATTGGCAAGTGACAGGCAAGTTAACATGCATTAAAATAACCCAACCACATTGATACTGATAATCTCACATGAAGTACAACCAGAAGGTGAAAAGAAGTCATAGCTAACCAGAAGGACAAGAAAATGAACTTCCCCTCCTTTTCTTATAAATGTGGGGGGACTATGGATGTGGAACATTATATATACCATTAGACTTGGTTCATATATTAATTTTATTGAACTACTTTTTTCTTTAAAAAAATTATTTGTGACAAAGGATGGCTCACTGAGAGTGAAGTGGGGAGAGAAGAGAAAGATATTTGCACTGAAGGTGATATGAAAATAGATGTTAATAAGGATTCTTAAAAAAAGAAATCATTGTTTTCGAACACAGAAGACATATGAGACCACTTAGGGGAAAATATCAAAAGCAACATAAAATTAGGTGAGAATAAGACATTTCAAAGAATTCTAATAGCTTTAACCTGACCTATTCCAATAAACTATGAATAATGAAAAACTGAAAGTGGAAAAGGGAAAAAATGTTTATCTTGATAATCACTCAGAAAAAATTTAACTGATCTAAGAAAGTCACCATAAGCAGAAAGCCAAAGTATCATTAAAATTCCGATCAAAAGGCAATTGACTCCACTTGCTAACTGAAGAGAGAAGTCAGTCAAGAGCAACATTGGTTTAGAATACACGCTCACCTGTAAAATATAATGGAAAAGGATGGTGAGAGATTGTAAGCATCTTTGCCTCTTAAAACAACAAAAAGCAATAGAAACCAAAATAATTCTCCAGAAAGCTAAATGTGAGACAACTCAAAGAACCACATCCTCACATGAGCAGTCCTAGACAGAAATAGAATGATGGCACAAAATGGATGATGAATAAGTATAATAAAGTAAAATTGAAAAAAAATGGGGAAAAAAGCATTTAAGAAGGCATAAAACAATTGCGAAGTATCTGCAGAAAAAAAATATGCTGGTAGTGACCTCTAGCATGCTGGACTAGGTTTTCTTGGAGCTGGGTTATGGGTAGAATACAGCCCAAATTAAGTGATGACAACAAACAGGTATAAATTGCAACATATTTGTTAATGGTTCTATAATTATTTATTTTCATCATCAATGACAGGCAGCCAGCACATTTGATACAAAAAGAAGTAGAAATGGCACCTAGGAAAAGATAAAGTTAAGAAGAGTATCTAAACTAGATAAAGTTCAGAAAGAAAAAAAGTCAGGATGAAGAGGACACAAAAGTTTGAAAGCATTGAAGGATCACTTTACAAGATTTCTCAGGAAAAGGGAGAAATCAAAGGAATGAAAAAAATAACAAAATATTAATTCCCCCCAAAGTCAGCCAATAACTGTTGACTCATATGACTACTGTCTCATTTCCATAAAATCTTTCAAAAATTATCTATATGCCTATGTGGGGTATCGTCCATAAAATATGAAAGTATACTCTCTCTCTCTCTCTCTCTCTCTCTCTCTCTCTCTCTCTCTCTCTCTGTCTCTCTCTCTCTGTCTCTCTCTCTCTCTCTCTCTCTCTCTCTCTCTCTCTCTCTCTCTCTCTCCCCTATATAAATATTCTCTATAACTCACAAAATCTTTGCAGTCATAAAATTGGCTGAATTCTGCAGAAAAGAAGAGATCTCATCATGTTTATTCTTTGTTGATTATTAAAAACCATATGCTTTGGTAGAGCAAAATGAAGACATAAAGGCTCTCTTCCAATAAGTTGCATCTCATGCATGTGTTAAGATCAGACAAGATTCCTCAATAAATGCAAGCACAAAATACCTTTTTTTGGTGACTCTCTGATTATTAATATCCAACAAGACCCAAAACAAGTGAAAAATGTATGTTCACCAAAAATATCCCCATTGTCATAGAACATGTCTTGCACAAAGTTAAATGGATGAAAGATGCTCAACAGAAGGCGAGGTCTTCCTGAATGTTCTGTATGTGAATGTCATTGTGTTGGCCAGTTCCAGAATTGCTTCCTCCATGAGATCCACAAACATTCAGAAGAATAACCACAGAGAAGAACAAAACAACACATTACGGAAATATCTTTTGTCTAAACCAGTGGTCTCTCAACATTTTTAATCACACAAATAGTTTTTGAGCATACCTAACCCCAAATGTCAATATGAATGTATTTCTATATGTGTATATGTGTGTATATTTACTTATAAATTATAGATAGGTACTGCTCTAGTATGTACATTACAAAACTTATGTAAAAATACAAATTAAAATGATTGAGAAAGATGAAATATTTTGAAAATGTTTTTGTAAAATCTTTTTGCTTTTGCCATAATATCATTATTAATGGTTATATTTTCATAATGATCATTAATGGTATTGTAGTGAGACCAGTGTGACTGAAAATGCTTCACTTTATGCTGTAATGATAAGAAGGTCTGCTTCAAATTTTAGTTTATTTTGATGCTTGGTTTCAATGGCTATTATAGCTAGAAAAAACACCTCATCACAGTATGTAGTTCCAAATGAAAGAAGTGAATTACTGACTATTTATTAAATCATTATACCCATTTAAAAATTTTGTCCACCAATTTTGGAAAGGTTTTTTAATTGAAATTCAATTATTAAATTTCCATTACTCTGGATGTCAATCAGTTGTTCCTGTAAACTAATCAAAAGGTGTTACACTTTTATTTTTCCAACAAATGAGTTCAAAACTCATTGACATTCTCCAGCCAGAAGATTTTTAGCAGTTTAGAAAATTATTTCCAAGATTTTATTTAAGTGTGCATATATGAGCTTTATAGGTGAAACACATTATCTTTCAATAGTCCAGAGAGGAAGGATGAGCAGTTAGCAGTGTCAAGAGCTGCACAGATGACAAGAAGGATGAAGATTGAGGAAAAGGTGTCAGATTTGGCAATTAAGATAACTTTAGTAAGCTGTTTCAGCTGGATGAATGTAATACGGGTAGTGAGTTTTCCAACACTAATTAAACTACAAAAACCTGAACCAAAAACTGCACTAAAAGTCAGTCACATTTTGATTAATTTATTACAGAAGTCTGGGATGAAGCTTTTATCTAATAATCTGGGAGAAATGATGAGTTGTCATAAGGATTAAAAATCTTAAAACTTTATGAAAAAAATTCCCAGATTCTATTCAAGATAGGAATATCAATTGGCATCTACAAATTCCTTTTTCATACTAAGATCATTTCTGATGTAGACATCTATGTATTACATCATATTACACTATGATGCCAGGTTAAAAACTTTAAATTAATTTAGCCTATAACACTTATTGTCTTTTATATGGCACTTTTAATTACATAAAGTAATTTCCTTAAAATATTGCTGTGAAATGCATCCTATAGATATTATGATCCCCATTTTATTGATGAGGAGATTTAGAGAAGTTAACTAATCTGCTAATGTTTACAGTCTTAGTAAGTATTGTAGAAATGGAATTTAAAATGCTGACTCATATGAACCTGAAAGGTTATGGAAAATTGTTATTCCCATGAGAACCTTGGCTGTCTTTAGGCAGAACAATTGTGAACATCTGCTTAATTTGCTGTAGCCATATATTTTAAAAATATATCTTCATCTGGTTATTTTTGTTTATACATCACCTATATTTTCCAATATATCCCTTTTCCTCTCCCCTCCCCAAACTATCCTTCATAACAAAGAATTTTAAAATTTTTTGGGGGCATAACTATTTCCTTGAAGATGTCTAATATTATGTACTATGTTCCATATCCATAATTCCATAAGCCTGAAAAGAAGGAATTGAGGGAAGGTAACTTTTCATATCTGTAAGATCAGATGAGATAACATAAATTACCTTGTAAAGGTTAAAACTCGCTTCTTCTCCTCCTCTTCCTCGCCATCACCACCATCATCTTCCTCCTCTTCCTCCTCCTGCTCCTGCCGCTGCTGCTTCTCCCCCCGTTCCCTTGGAGCGGACCATCCCGGCGCCTCTTTTGTGAAGCAGTGGCTGAGGAGACTCCCGGACTCGCCCTGGCCGACGAAAAGCCGAAGGAAGGCGTCAAGACTGAAAACAACGACCACATTGATTTGAAGGTGGCAGGGCAAGATGGTTCAGTGGTGCAAGCTAAGATTAAGAGGCAAACATCACTTAGTAAACTAATGAAAGCCTATTGTGAACGACAGGGTGTGTCAATAACGCAGATCAGATTCCGATTTGATGGGCAACAAATCAATGAAACAGACACACTTGCACAGTTGGAAATTGAGGATGAAGATACAATTGATGTATTCCAGCAGCAGACAGGAGGCACTTACTAAAAAGAGAACATGCAACTCTACTCCAGAACTGTGCTCCCAAGGAAAACAATACATTCACAATTAGAAAACCAAGATTTGGTTCATCCACATCCTGACTATTGCAGTATAGTTTTCTCTCTTCTTTGATTCCCTTCCCCCATTCCTTTATTGTATATAAAGTAACTGGTGTATGTGCACAGGCATAACGCATATTTTTTTTTTAACTAAACGGCCGATGGTATGTTATGATCAACATTAAATGGAGATGGGGCAGGGAAAAAAACAAACAAACTGGTTTTGTGAAAATATCCCTTTTCTCCATTAGTGGCATGTTCATTCAACTTTTGTCTTTATATTCCAGTACGTTATTTTGCTCTCACTGTTTAACAACAACAACAACAACAACAACAAAACCCACAAAAAAAATCTTTGCATACCTTGTTTGATTGGATAATTTCAATGTTTTTCTTTTATCATTGTAAAACCAAGGATGATTTTATAACTTTTTTTTTGTACATAGCTGTTACATGTAGGGCAATCTCTGTCTCTCAGTAGGTATAAATTGCTATAAACAAATTGATCCTAGTTTTCCCTTCAAGTCAAACATCTTGTTTTTTAAATAAACTTCTTGTTTAAATAAAAAAAAGATTAAAACTCTGTATAAATGCTAGATATCATCATCATCATCATCATCATCATCATCATCTCTTCTTTGACCCAAAGATTCCACTGTTAGGAATATATACCAAGTAGGTCAATAACAAAAAAGACTGTTATTACTTAAAGGAATTTTTGTAATTATATCTGTATAGATACTGAATGTGTTTGATAGATTGATATTTTGCATGTTTTGTTATTTTGAATGGAATTTTCTTTAGGTTATTCCCTCATAGGATCATGGATTTAGATCTGGAAGGGTCCTTTGAGGTCATATAGTCCAACTCCCTTATTTTACAGGTGAGGAAACTGAGGTCCAGAGAAGTTAAATGACTTGTCCAGGATCACCCTAGGTTTTCTTATGGGTACATAAAAACTTTGTGGGTAATTATGGATTCATCTTATATCTTAATAATTTTGCTGAAGCAAATAATTGCTTCCATTAGTTTTATTGCTGATTCCCATGGATTTTCTATATACATCATAAAACATCATATCCCTTGGAAATAGGGATAGCATTTTCTTCTCTTTGCTTTCCATTAGGACTCTAATTCTTTCTTTAGCTAGCCTTTTTGCTTTTGCCAGCATCTCTAAAGTTATGTCAAATAACAGCAGGGAAAGGCATCATTCTTACTTTACTACTGTGTTTATTAGGAAAGCTATTATTGTTTTCTCATTGTATATAATACTAGCTTCAGGTGTGAACTCAAAACATATTTATAATATTTTAAAGTTCCTATGTGGCTAGGTTTTGTAGATTTTTAAATTTTTTTTAGCACAAATGAGTGTTTTATTTGATGTAATTATAAGATTTTGGATTTTTAAAAAATGGCTATTTTTAAGGAGAATTCTGGGAACCTAGTAGAATACAATGGGTAATACTGGGCTCTCCAAAATTCTACTACAAGCAAGATAAAATATTATCACAAAGTGAACTCTGAGAAGCAGAAATAATTAAAAGTCAGGGTAAAGCCGTTGTCTTCCAAAGACAGCTTGGGAGGACCTTAGGAAAGACCCGACCTTTGGGGGCACAGGTTTGGCCTGTTTGAAGTCCAAATACCTTCAGGCAGACTCCACTTAGTCAATATACAACAAAGCCTGAGGACAGCTGTGTGGGGATGTAGCCTCACCTTCAGTAACTTTTACCTCATGGGTTGTGTGGAGGGGTCAGACAGTTGAGCCAAGGAAGATTGAAGGACCTTCTGCTTCCGCTGGACACCAGGCCCAGTTGTACTGTCAAGATGTGACACTGGGCTGAGGCTGTGGGAGAGGAGGAGTGAGCCCACACGAAGTGAGTGTGGCAGTAGGGGGGGTGAGGGTGGGGACCCTGATGTCTATGGACACTTTCAGGACAGTGGAGTCCCTAATTTTGGTTCCAGGGCAGAGGAGTGAACTGATTGATTTTTAGGAAAAAATGAAAGATTTGCATGAAATAATGAAGAGTAAAATGAGCAGAACCAAGAGAAAGTTGTGCACAGTAACAGCAATATTATTCTAAAAACAACTTTGAATGATTGTCATTTTGAGTATTATACTCAGATCAACTACAGATAGAACAAATGTAGCCAAGATCAGAAGGAAAGCAGAAAATTGAGAAAAAAATTTAAAGACAGTTTATCAGATAAAGATCTCATATCTAAAATATATAAAAAAACTTTGTCAAATCTATATGAATATGAATCATTTCCCAATTGACAAATGGTGAAAGGATATGAACAGGCAGTTTTCCAATAAAGAAATCAAAACAATTTAAAGTAATATAAAAAGGCTCTAAATCATTATTGGTTAGAGAAATGCAAATTAAAACAACCTTGAGATACCATTTTGCTCCCACTCGATTGGCTAAAATGATTGAATGGGAAAACAACAAAAATTGGAGGGGATATGGAAAAATTGGGACACTAATTCACTGTTGGTGAAACTGTGAACTGACCCAACCTTTTTGGAGAGCAATCTGGAATTATGCCCAAATAGTTATTCAACTGTCTATGAAAACCCTTTGACTCAGCAATACCACTACTAGATCTGTTTTCAAAGATGATTAGGGAAAAAGGAATAGAATCTATATGTTATAAAATATTTAGGACAGCTCTTTTTGTGGTGGCAAAGAACTGGAAATTATAGGGATGAATTGGAGAATGGCTGAAAAAGTTATAGTATATGATTGTGATGGAATACTACTGTACTATAAGAAATGATGAGCTCAATGATCTTAGAAAAACATGTATAGACTTGCATAAGATAATGAAGAGTGAAATAAGTAGAACCAAGAGAACATTGTATATAGTAACAGCAATATTATTTTTAAGACAACTTGAGAGACTGATTATGACTATTATAAAACCCAAATTAACTATGAAGGATCTATAAAGGAAGACTCTGTATCCAGAGAGAGAAGTGATAAATAGAAGTATATATAGAATGATTTTACATAGATAGATAGATAGATAGATAGATGGAGATAGGTAGATAGATAGATAATTAGATAGATAGATAGCACAATGTTATGGAAATACTTGTTTTATTCCATAATTTGAAAATAAAAAAAAATTAAGGAAAAAATGAATCAACCATAAAGGACCTATGAAGGAAGATGTTATTCACATCCAGAGAAGAAACTGATAAATAAAAGTATGTATAGTATAGTTTTACATGTATAGTCATATTGTAGTCTTCTCTAGGGTAGGCTTAATTAAATTAAATCATTAATTATTTAATTAATTAAATTTAAAAAAAATTAATGATTATTTTACTTGCTTTCTGATGTTGAATCATTCTTGAATTCTCAACATAAATCTAAATTGGTTATGTTGAATGGTTTGGGGAATGAAGTAATGTTAAGTTTTTGCCAGAATTTTATTTTAAAATTTTAAATTTATATTCATTAATGATATTGGTCAATGGTTTCTCTCTCTTTTTCTCTCTCTTTAGCTTTCCCTTCTTTATGCATTAGGACTATGTGTGCCTCATAAAAGAAGTTTGATAAAATGTTTTCTTTCCAAATTATGAGAATACTTTGTGTAATATAGTTATTAATTATTATTTAAAAGTCTGATAAAGTTTTCCTTTAAGTCCATCTGGATCAGAGAGTTTTTCCAATTTTGGTAGTTCTTTTATAGCTAGTTCAATATTTAATATGCTAATGTGCGTATGTTATATTTCGTAAAAATTCTTTATTCTTCAAATTCTTTTTTTGCTGACAATTATATTTATTCTTTCAAAATTCTTTTGAAATTTCTTCTATGCTGTGACTACACATGTATAACCTGTATGGAGTTGCTTGCCTTCTCAATGAGAGTGGGTGGGAAGGGAAGAAGGGACCAAATGTGGAGCCCAAAGTTTTAAAAACAAATGTTAAAAATTGTGTTCACATGCAACTGGGAAATAAGATATACAGGCAATGGGGTATAGAAATCTTTCCTGCCCTACAGGAAAATAGAAGGGGAAGGGGAAGAGAAGGGAGGAGATAGAAGGGAGGGTAGATTAAGGGAAGGAGTATTCAGAATGCCTGCCACATTGGGGTGGGGGGAGGGACAAGATGGGGAGGAAATTTGGAACTCAAAATCTTGTGGAAAGGAATGTTGAAAACGAAAAATAAATAAATTAATAAAATCTGAAAAAAAATTTCCTCTATGCTGAAATTTCTCTTTGTTCATTTTTATTTTGTTAATTTTATTTTCATTTCTTTTTGATCAGTTTAGCTAAAGTTTTATTATTTTGTTAGTTTTTTCAGAGTATATGCTTTTAGTTTTATTGTGTTTTTTGTTTCTCAATATGTAATATATAATTTCAAGGTTTCTTCTTTTGTTCTTATTTGAGATTTGTTGATTTTCTCATTTTAAATTGCATATACTATCATTCATTATTTCCATTTTGTCAATATATGCTTTTAGGGACACAGTTCTTCCTCCTAGAGATGTTTTAGCTGTAACTCAGAAATTCTGGAATATTGTCTCATTATTATCACTGTCTTTTGCATGTTTATTGATGCTCTCTATGATTTGTTCTTTGACCCACTCATTATTTGAGATGTTATTAAATCTCTAATTTGGTCTGTTTATTTTGCTTATGCTCTCTGCATTAATTGCTATTTTCACTGAATAATGGCTTGTAAAAATGCTTAGTCCTCCTACTTTTTGCATATATTTGCAATTTCTCTATGCCCTAATACATGGTCCATTTTTTATAAATATATCTTTCTATGAAATTTGTCCATCAAAGTATCCTATCATTATTTTTATTATCTAAACATTTTTGCAATTCATTTAACTTTTTAGGAATTTAGATATTATGGCACTAGATGCATATAGTTAAATATTTCTATTGGCTCATTATGTACAGTTCTTTTAAGATCATATAATTACCTTTTTTCTCTCTGTTGATATTTTGAACTTCAATTTTTTTTGGTGATAGCTTCTGGTTTTTTTTGGAGTTACTTCATGCATTATGAATTTTGTTTAGGCCTTTCATTTAAATTCTCTGTGTGCATTTGCTTTTTATATGTGTTTACTATATACAACAGACTGTGGGGTTTATTTTCTTATACATTATCTCATTTTATTTGAT